TGACGCAGTTGTTTTTGACGCGCAGGGGCCACGTCGTGGCCAAGTACAACTTTGTGGTCGAGGTCGAGGACGACGAGGCCGTTTTGCTGGATCCCAGCGAGCATCAGGCTTTTGTGTGGGCGACTGAGGAGGAGTGCGTCAGGGGTGCCAAGGGGGAGATGCAGCTGCCGATTACTACGGCGGCGCAGCGGGAGGTTATATTGCAGGCGTGGAGGATTATGAAAGAGACGGCTTGAGGGGTGATATTACGCATGGGGTACCATAAACCAGCGACTTGTTTGATGGCATTTTTAGCATACATCTTGAGAGTGTTATAATGCACACGCGACTCCGCCAAACGAGCATCCTGCGGATAAAAATGGAGGGAATCAGAGCGGGAGATATCTTAGACACCATAGCATGGCTAGAAACGCAAAAAGGAGAGAATGAATGAATGCCCACTGCCAGAATCGAACTGACGATCTTGTCATGTACTATTGGGAAAGTTTCTTTGCCTATTAGTGATACGCCCTACCACTGAGCCAAGCGGGCTGGAGTGTTGGTGAAGCTGGCGTGAACGTGCTGCGGCTTTTGTTCAGCGGGTTGGTGGGCGGAGACTGTGTCAGGGGTAAGGGGCTAATCTCAATGCCCGATGGCTGGCTTTGCAGCACGAAATAAGCATAAATACAGCGCATTATGTGGTACCTAAACCAAATGCTTGCCAGCTGCCCGCGTTCGTGTTTTCCTGGTCATTATCCTCACTTGCGGGTCGAACGAGAAGGACGGTAAACTGCCTCGGCAAAAACGGCACGGGCCTTCCTTATTAATTTTATTACCATGGTTTAGACCATGTGAAATTGTGCTACTACTTGGAAAGCATTTGATGGGATCTCGGGTGGTGCCTGGCTCCATGCTCAAATTTTGGGCCCGCCAGTACGGTTGAGAAACAAGCCCTGCGGGTCGAGCCTCTTGCGCACATCCGCAGCCCTTTGCTTCTTCTCGGGCCTGAGACGAGAGAAGTAGTCTTGCTTGTGGTACGCGTCGTTGAGGAACAAGGGCCTGTAGACATTAGGCAGACGCCCCGACGACACGTAGCCGTCGACAAGCTTCTTCATGCCGTCGACCAGCTCCACCGTGGCCTGGTCGACGGCGTCATCGCTGCTGTCGAGCAGGTACGAGTAGTTGAACTCGAACATGATGCGGTCGGCCTCGTCGTCCAGGTCCAGCATGTCGCCGCCGTTGGCCTTCGCGATGCGCGTCAGGTTCTTGGGGATGGGCTGGAAGGCCATGGACGAGATGATGCCGAACTCGCCCTTGCGCTTCTTGGAGGTCGAGCGCCAGTGGTCAAAGTACGACCGCATGATCTGGCCCTTGTCCGACGCGGGAGGCAACGGGGTGGTCTCGGTCGCGATGACGTAGCGCGACCCGTGCAGCACCGCCCAGTTGTTGTGGTGGAGCAGCTCGCCGTACTCGCGGGACTCGCAGTCGTTGACGGACGGGTTGAGGGCCGCGAACTTGTCGAAGATGCCGGCCGGCGGGTTCTCGCCGTCGTAGAAGAGGAACAGCGTCCACATCTCGATGACGTTGAGCACCGTCAGCTGCACCGTGGCGATGATGGCCGCCTTGGGGTCGTCGTAGTGCTCGGTGAAGTCGCGGATCAGCGCCAGCAGGTCGTCCGTCTGCTCCCTGCCGTAGATCATGTTGCCGCCCCAGACCCTGCCGATGGGCCGCGCCTTGAGCACGTACTTGGTCACGACGCCAAAGTTGTTGCCGCCGCCCTTGAGCACCTCGAACACGTCCGGGTTCTGCGTCTTGGAGACGGTCGTGATGGTGCCGTTGGGCGTCACGAGCTCCATCTCGAGGATGTTGTTGGCCGCCCAGCCGTACTGCGTGCTCAGGAAGCTGAGCCCGCCGCCCAGCAGGAACCCGCCCACGCCGACCTCGCCCATCCTGCCACCCACGACCGCCAGCCCGGTGCCCTCGAGCTTCTTGAAGACGTCGTCCCACCGGTTGCCGGGCCCCACCGTGACGGTGCCGCGGGCCTTGTCGATAGTGACCTCGTTCATCTTCTTTGTCGCGATCAGCGCCCCGCCTTTGGTGCTGGAGTAGTAGTTGTTGGGGTTGTGGCCGCCCGACTTGATGGCGAACTGGTCGTTGTTACCCGCCAGTATCTTCATGAGCCGGGACACCTCCTGCGCGTTCGCTGGCTCCAGAACGCACGTCGGCTTGAGACTAGCGCAGCCCTGTGACCTGTGGGCAAAGTAAAAGACGTCGTCGTTAGCCAGGGAAGGACATAGCAAAGCAAGTTGGGTTGGGTTGTGCTTACCAAAACGCTCCGGACTCGTCGTTGAACTCCTTGTTGAAAAAGCCAGAGTATTCGGCGATGCTGCTTTGTTCCTTGTTGATCAGCTTGCAGGTGTCGGACTTGGCCAGCACGCCCGACGACAAAGTGGTCATCGTGGCGTAGGCCACGGCAAGCGCCTTGACCTGCATGATGAAGCAAGTATGCAGTAATAAATAGACAGAAGAGGAATAGCTAGGATTTTACAAACGAAAGCCGCCTGGCAAGACACTGCAATTATTAAGGAACACTGCTTAACCCCGAAGCAGTCGTGAAGGAATGAACGACACTTGGCGCATGAAGCCCAACAAACACCAGGCTAAGCATGATGGCGTCGGGGCATCGCGTCTTTTTATCTTGCTTCAACCTCTCCCTGCGCTCTCCCCGCTTGGACGATGCCGATGTGAGCCTGTGATACACAGGAGCTAGGGCCTGGATGCCACGTGGGGCTCTGTTGGCATGCTTGGTGTTGCGGACGTTAATTTCCATGCGACCTATATTGGGGTTGGTGATGGAGCTACCGGGCCACGAGATCAAGGTCTTGAGTCACCGCAAAAACCCCCGGGCAGTTAGTCGGCCGTTGATAAGTGCGTGCAGCATGGAGACGGGAGAGGCAGTCGCCGGCGGGCTGCGGACATTCCTCATATGGACAATATCGATATATGGAAACAGTACTCTCTGCCGCGTCAGCCACCCTCTACAATATGGAGATCGAGATAAAGACAAGATTCCCCCGCATTTGATTCAAGGATATACCCGTCAGCCATAATTATCTGGAGAGCGGACGGCGCGCCTCGGCCGAGTTTCCCGCCGCCGGCAAACAAAGTCAAATAAAAATCAGGGGTGCGAGCGTCCTTGGGTCGGGCTCACCCGTGAAGCACTCCGACGCCAGATCTTGACAGGTCATAATGTAGACGACCTTAGCAGCTTGACACTAGAGGCACATCCATAGCAGCTTTTTACGACTCGCGCGCGTAGCGCTGCGCTTTGGCAGCTGGTCGCGAATGGGGTGATGTGTGATTGCGAGCCCGAGCGGCGAGGGGCCCGACACTCTGCGAACCTCTTTTTGCGCTCTGCCGGGACGCTCCACATGGGTATTCATCCTCAGGGAATATCCTTGATTTAGGTCGCAAATAACCAAGAACCCGGGTCCCCAATCCGTACCAAGCATATGACGGCGCGATAGCGCCGTTGGGAAATTTCAGGACATATGCATATATGTTAAGAGTTGCTATAGGTCCTCTCCCAATGGGGCAATGCTCAAACCGCGGAGCGGCCAGAGCATCGTCGGTACATATTGCAGTAACACCCATCCAGGATAATAAACGTTAACTACCCGGCGAACACTCCGTGACGAACAAAAACATCTTGTTGGTCCACAAATCATGCGAACTTATGTATTTATGCACATACCAGCATCGCTCGAACCGCGTCGGAATTTTAACGTTTATGACACTGGTTTAACGTTTATGGCCCTGAAAGGGTGACCTTATTGTAACGGTCTACAAACATCAGATGCTTCAGAGTTCCAGAGTCGCAGTTTTCGGTCTTTTTGCCTACCTCCTACCTATGCCGACGGGATGGGCTGGCAGGAGCACGCAGAGTTGACGCGCGAAGTGATGGCACTGCACGACGACCCGGCGCGTCATCTTGGCCAGGTAGCCGCCACGCTCGATGGTGTTGATAAACATAAAAGCCCGAGGGGAAGAGCGCGTACGGCAACCAGGAGCCGTGCCTATCAGCCACGCCGCGGCCGGGCGCCGCGTCGTCCTCCGGGTAGATGTCCAAGGACGCCGCCACGCAAACCGAGTTTCCCATGTCGGGTCCGCGGGGATCGACGAGATGCCGTAAACGCGGTACCCGGCCATGTACTCGGACTGGTACACCAGCACGTTGCCCGTGAGGTACCAGGCGGTTGTTATCCACAGCAGGGATGGTGCCTGGGAAGTGAGCCGCGATTGCGTTGCGCTAGCGGCGCATCAGTCTCCGGACTTCGGGTTGAAAGTGCCGCCTGACCTTTGCAAAGACTGGTTTGCTCGGGGTGCTCCAGATCCCCGAATGTCCTAGATGCACGGTACGAGATGCTTTTACCATGGCCATGCCGCTGGGTCTGATCTCGACCAAGAGGGGGGGCTCTTGGTTGCCTGGGTTCAGCACGACGCCCTGGTGCGAGTGCTGCACGTCGTCATATAACGCGACGGATATGTCATCGATCGGGTGTTGTTGGTGACGCCGTGGATGGTCAACGAGTCCTCGTTTAACCCATGGCAGACGTCGTGGCCCTGGTACGGGGGATCGGGTGAGCCCCTCATACGGGAGGCACTGCTGGTCGTGCACATAGCCGTCGTCGACGTTGCGGGCATTTCTCTGCGGGTTCGAGGGGTTCTTGGGGTCGACGAAGATGAAGCCGGCCCTAACTCGGCGTCCCCGCGCGGAGCCGAACCCACCCCGCCGCAGCCATGTATTCCTTCCCCTCGTTCACGATCACGTTGTCGCTCGCGCCCGCGGCATGACCAGCACGGGATCGTCAGATCGGCCAACTCGTCAAACTTGACGGGTGCCTTGACCGCGTCAATGGTCAGGAGCTAAGGGTGGAATAGTCAACTGGAGCCTTTGACTCCGGATTTCTTTTCGATGCATCTTTGCTCCGAACTCACCTTCCTCAATTCAAGGATCTGGACACCGCGGCCGCGTCTTTCCGAGCCGGTAAGTACGTAGTGCTTGTATGGCTGCAACTCTTTCCAGAACAAGAGGTTATTAGTTCCGAGGCTGACTGGGAGCCTAGGTGGTTCTTCAAGTACAGAAACGCGAGGTGTATTAGGTGTCCCCCTGGAAGGATTTCGAGCATGGCAGTATCGCCGAACCTCTCCATTTGAAGCGGACGAGAGTGATATCGTCCAATCTCTGCACTCCACTTCGCTCTCCTTCGTCCCTGGTCAATGTTCGTTGGTTGGTTCCAAGACTCAGACATCACGAACGAACCAGCGGCTTCTAAAACCACAAGGAAAACGTCAATTCATTGTTGTGAGGGCCTTGGCCGTTTTACTTGCTACAGTCTCCCAACCTCTTCCTTCTCCAGTCACCCGCTAAGCTTAGCATCCCGCCGCTCCCGCCGGGTCCGAGCCGCAGGCCGCCAGATTGTCCGTGTATCCGCGGTCCCACGCGAACGAGCAGAGACCCAGGTACGAGCAGTGGTCAGGGACCCCGACCT